GGCCACAACTCCAGTTCAGAGTAGCCATACATATGTGCTGCTTACCTTGAGACAAACCTGCTTACCTGGTGGTGACTGAGATGTCAGTGATTAAAAAGCAGTACACTGTACGCAGGAAGCCACCCAGGTTTAAGTCCCAGTTCTGCTACTTCCCAATGGTTTAAGCTTGGTAACTAACTTCCATTTCCTCATCTATAAAATGGTATCTATAACAATACCCACTCAAAGGGTTGTTGAGAGATCTGAGTTAAAGACATCTAAAGCTCCCAGTACAGAGGAAGTGTTCAATAAACTGAGGGAGACAGGGAAACACCTCCCCCCTCCATCCCAGGCAGACAGCACGGAGCAATGTACAGACTTACCAATAATTTGGGCCGTTACTGACTGAAGCACAGGAATAAACACTCGATAAAACAAGAGGAGGCTCAACTACAGGAGAGAAGCAATAAGGTAAACGTTAAAAGCCTGTCTTTACAACAACAGTTCCATTTTAAGCTGCTAAATTTGTGCTAATTTGTTACACAGTAATAGAAAAACAATGTGTTTCCCCACTGGAAAAATTAACAAATAAAACAAGAGTTCCAAGTTTCAGTGTAATTATTTTCCAGATAGAAGTGCCTTTTATAAATTAGGAGGCCTGAAGAGGCACCAAAATTCTATTTCCCCATCCTCCACCTCAGAGGTACAAACTTGACACTGCCTATGAAAACAGTAAAGCTTTGGGGGGCATAGATGAACAGTTCAATTAGTATTCAGGCCAAAATGGAGGCATATACTAAGTTCATAGTAATATTTTATTAATTAAAGTTAACACCTAAAAACATCTGTGAAATGTTTAGATTAACAAGTTGAATTATACTCCATTCCAGGTCAAAGAAAATATTTAACTACCTGTTCTTTAAACTACTCAAATTTCAATTAAGCCTGCGTTGGTTCTCAGTTAATTGCAGGCAACCTTCCAGTATCGGTTTCAATGGTAATCAATTCTAATACACTGCTATGACCAGAGGCAGGGAGAACCTTGGCCATCTGTCCTTCCCCTCTGAGCCCCCATAGTTGCTTTTGGCCAAAATGTCCAGACAGTATCAACAGAAATTGTTACCTAACACGTTAAACTTGTGAATAAATCATTTAAGAGAAAGGTGTATATATTCAGGCTTATCCCTGACATTTACAGCCAAGTATTCTCTGAGTGGGGATAAAATCACTGCAGGAGCACAGAATCCTGATTTATGGTCTTAAGCCCAGATATCAGCAGGTAAGAGCTACTTGTCTCAGTTCAAGAAGATAGTTGAGAACCATTAACATGGCAACTATTTGAAGATGCTTATAAGGCACCTGGAATTTGAGGAAAAAACTTACCCAGAATACTCCACCATTCCAAGCGCAGCACTGAAAAATTCTACTAACAATACGTGGTTCACTGGAAAAGACCACATGTATTTAGCTTAAAAAAGGCATAGAGGCTATTTCCATACTGTTATTCAGTAGCTCTCCTTTTTGTCTTTTGTTGGCACCACATTATTTTTCCAGCACTTATTTTTCTCCCAATGTTCTCTCCTAATGTCAATGAGAAAAGGCTAAAAATATTTTAAGAGAAGTAATTTTTCTTAAAAAGAAAAAAAATATATTTTCTAAAATCCAAGATTGGTGAAGATTAAAAGAGGATGTCTGAGGTTCTTCCTTCAAATAAAATCCACCCAGATGTTCCTACAGGTGTCCACCAATCCATTCTGATTTTTTTAAAACACCATATTTTGAACAAGGATTTCTCCCAGACCTGAGTTTAATTCAATGTCCAGGGGTGGGGGGGCTGTGCCCATAACATTTTGTGGGGGAGAAAGTACAAACAACAAATAATGGGGTACTAAAATGCCAAGGAACTATGTAGAGTCTGAATTCTATACTAAGGATCAATCACTTACTAAAATGCTCCCTGGGAGGTCAGACACCTTCTGACAGCAGCCTCCACTCCTTACCTCTCTTGCTTCCTCTCTATACTCTGCGCTCTCCTCTGAGCCAGGACACTGCTTGTCCTTCTTCGACGCTGCTCCTCCCTCTTTTGCTGAATTCGAGCATCTAGCTTTGAGATGGTACAAATTCCCCAGATGGAGTCTTTGATCCCCTAGAAACAAGAACGTTATTTTTAAAGAAGATGATTGTGGATCAGAAAGCTTTCCAAAGTGACATAAAGTGAAATAACAGTGGAAATCATTGTACTTAGTTTGCTACATGGCTTAAGAGAGCCTTGATTTTTTTTTTAAATAATTCCCAGTTTACAGGAGAGCTGCAAGAATGAAGAACTTCCTAATACCCTTTCTCCAGATTCATCAGATTTTCTGCCACATTATTTATTATTATTCACATGTACACATTTTCCAAATCACTTGAGTGGATTGCTATGTCTCTTTACTTTTAATTCCTCAGTGTATATTTCCTAAAAGTAATAATATTCTTTTCTATAGCCACAAGATAGTTACCTATTCAAGAAAATATTGAAATAGTTTAATTGGCAGTTCAAATTCCAATTTCGCCATGTGTCCCAGGAATGTCCTCTACAGCATTTTTACCCCTCAAGTATCAGAAATCAGTTCAGAATCAGATGTTGCATTTAGCTGTCATCTCTTTAAAAGTCTCCTTTATTCAGGAACAGCTCTTTAGCCTGTCATCTTATGCAAAGCACACAGGCCAGTTATTTTATGGCGTGTCCTCAATTTAGTTTGTTTCCTCCTGCTCAGACCCAGGTCCCACATTTTTGGCAGGAGTATCACATAAGTGATGCTGTGCTCTTCCGGGTATTACATCCAGAAGCACACAATGTCTGCCCTTTGTGATGTCAATTTTGCATATTCAGTCAGTTTTGCACATTCATCAAGGTGTCATCCAGCTCCACTGGATGGCTGCAAATTTTTCTCCTTGCAACTAGTAAGTAAACTGTAGGCAGACATTTCTGAGGTCAGGCAAATATCCTGCTCATCAAGTTCTCTCCCTCAGATTTAGCTTGATTGACAATTCTTGTCCAAATCTTGAATAACATGGTTGCAAAACAGTGGCTTTCCAATCCCTCCAACACTTATCCATACTGTAAAGCCAAATTACTGCCCTCCCCTGTACTCTTCCAATATCAGTTGAATGCCTACAGTATGATCTATATCCTGTACTAAAGTAGCAATGTAAGGATAAATTAAACACTGGTCTCTAGAAAGGACCAGGGCTGGACCAAGCCTGGAGAAAGACACAAAGAAATAATTACTGTAAAAGTGTGAAAAGGATAAGAGCACGCCACACAAGACACAAACAACATGATAGTGTAGCTGGAGGAGAATGTCTTTAAACAACGTACGGTGGGGCAGAGGGTTAAGTCTTAAATCAGTGATGGAGGCACTTGCCAATAACTGGAAGAGCCCCAACTGCAGAAAGGTTACTGTCATTACTACAAACATCACAGCTGCCCATCACCCAGGTCAAAGAACTGCACTCGCTCATCCACCCACTCCCACATTGAGCATCTTCAATGAACTAGACACCAGCCATACAAAATTGCTCAACAAACTATAACTTAGCAGGAAAAGTACACAAGTAAACCAAAAAAAAAAAGTACAGTTTAGTAAATGTCACAACAGATTTATGTCCAAAGTAGAGGGGGAAGGACTGGTGTATTCAACTTCATAAGGAAGTGGAAAAAGGCATTCTAGAAGCAATGGCCAACCTGGACTAAAGAATGGCATTTTCCCCTATTATGAGGGGAAACAAATTTTAGAGAAAACTGCCAGGATACAGAGAAATGGACAAGTTTATGAACTACCACTGACAAGGGCGTAAACTGGCAGTGTGCACCTGATCTTTTATCTATGAGTGATGTTTAATCTTATTTTGCTTTTTAACTTCTAAGTCATCCACAAATAGTTTAAATATTTAAGATAGCCAAGTTCAAATGGCCGAGGGCCTAGGATGTGCTAGAATGATGACAAGAACCCCGCCTCTAAGATACTTAGTCTAGAGGGGCAGACAAACACATGAAGTGCACTCTGGAGCACTAACCCAGGGCTGAAATTTTACCACAGAAGACAAGGGCGTAAGGTATTAAAAGTAGATCACACTGCATGAATTCTCTTTGGCTCTTCTAAAATATTCCTTTAATTCTCCCTCTTTACTCCAAGGTAATAAACTTTTAAACACGCCCACTGGGGAACACTGCCACTCCCCATCAGAGCTGGCCTCCCTCCTGCTCCCAGGAACACAGCTACAGGTGCTACACCCAGGGCATGAGAACTCAGACATCCTCTATAAGGGAATTTTAAGCTACTGATCATTTGGGTGATTGGTCGCCCACAGATCTTTATGGGACGTTTTCCTAGAGTATCATCAACTGCAGAAAAAGGTAGGTTCTACAATGTAGAATCCAAACTAAGAAGATTAGGTATTAGTACTGTACCAGTGTTCACTGCCTGGTTTTGTTCAGCGTGCCATGGTTACCTAAGATGCTAACGTTAGGAGAACCTGGTGAACGATACAGGGGAACTCTGTACCATCTTGCAACTTTTCTGTTAGTGTAAAATTATTCCAAAATAAACTTTAAATAAAAAACAAGGTCTGGGGCCAAGCTGACCAGGGTTCCAAAACTAGAGACACTCATTAGACAGGACTCTCAAGCTTCTGCAAGCTGAAGGATAACACCTCTCTTGATTATTGTGAATTAGAATGAAAACCTGTATGTAAAAAACCAACAAATGTAATAAACATTCCAAAACTACCTAAAGGATTTCCTAGTCAGTTCCTGCAGCAAAAGGGTCAAGGGAAGACTTGATGTACTCACCCTGGCAAGGTCCTGCAGAAAGGTTTTGACACTGTCAGCCATCTCTTCACCACCCAAACTACCAACTACACAGAGAGAGATGCGTCCCCCAGTCTTTCATCATGAAGGACCTGGAGACAGACGGAGCATAATGGAGGAAAGTATTCATCTTCGAGTTACTTCATGTGTATTTGCACACGATGACGTTTTCCACACACTTCTCTAACGGGAGTGCAGTGGCTCCTTGCACTTAGGTAGACGCTAGCAGTGGACAAAGTGAGGTTATACCTGTACCTGCTGAAAAGCCTGAAATCAGTTACGTTTTTAAATCACTTACCATCATTTCCCTTTCACGTCGGGTAAACGTGCTCATGGACCAGTGGTCTCTTCTCTGGGCCTTGATTTCCCTGACTATCTTCCTACATATCCCACTTCTGAGATTTTTGAGTTGCTTGATAATTACATTTCAATATCCTCTTAAGCAATAGTTGTGCTTGATGTGACTTGAATGAAAATATAAGAGCAACTTGAAAGTTCTAACAAAAATTACTAAATACACACTTCACACACAGGGCCCTCCATCTCATAGATAAGCTTATGGTATGAGGTGAAATTTCCCACTACGTGCAAATATTTGACCCTGTCTACCAACTTGAAGTATACACATATGTGCACAATTTTAACAAGCATGCAAAAAACAATGGATTTTAAACTAGGCCCCAAAAAAGTCAAGTTTGCGTTTATAAATATTCTTTAACACACTACATTTTATTTCTTAGGTGAATGAGCAATCTAGCTTCATAAAATAATTTGAAAGTTCACATGTATAAATATTCTCAAAATACTATACTCTTATGTAATGTCTTTAAAGTGAACGGAAAACCCATTTTCAAAATTTCAGTTAAGAACTTGGGATTCTAAAGTTCTCAAACCTGACTAAGCTGATCTAGGGTATTCTCAATTTAAGAGACGGACCATAATGACAATTTCACAGGCAGCTTGTAGAAACCTCAAACTTCAAAACCTAAGCATGCTTTCCCTAATAATCACTTCACCCAGCTGTACCCTACTGACCCAACTGGACGCCTGCCATCCAGAACAGGAAGAGCAGGGAACAGAGCAGTAGGAAGGCAACCTGCCCAACACTGTATGTACCATCTGCTCCTTGGATCAAATCCCACACAAGCACTCATTCAGGTAGAGAAGTTTCTAGGGTAAGAAACTTTTAATGCTCCCACTTAAAAATAAACAAAAACCCCTGAATGATAGGATAACTCAGTGCCAGATGAACAGTGAATGCTCTGTGACAAATACGTGAGACACTAGTTTGTAAAGACTACCATGGATTCACTCTTAACTTCCTCATCTAGAAATTAAAGCTATTAAAATTATTCATAGATTTTGAATACAAAGTGCAATAACATTTTCATGTTCTCTTTTCAAATAATTTTTTAAAACTTTAGTTTTATTGTTTTTTTGTTGTTGTTGCTTCGGGTAAGGTAATTAGGATTATTTTTTGTCTTTACTGGAGGTACTGGGGATTGAACCCGGGACCTCATGCATGCTAAGCAGGCACTCTATCAATTGAGCTATACCCTCCCCCCTAAAAGCTTAACTTCTATGTAAACATAATCCCACTACAGAAGGAGCTAGTTTGGGAGTTTAAGGAAGTCAATTACTTAGTCTGGATTTCTCACAGGGCGCTGACACAGCTCGAAGCGTTGTCAGTTCTAATCCAAGAAGAACAGCTGTGATACTTGAACCGTGGCCATCAACACCTGGCTTCTGCAAGTACCCAGTGGCAGACTACCTACTGACCAACAGCGGCCTTTCAAGGACAAGTCACTTCAATATTCTACGGAGATCCTCGCAGCCTTCCTACAGAAACATTTGGTGAATTATCTGGTTTGACAAAAAGCTGAGGCATGGCGAATAGCAACTGGCCAAAGGTTGAGACCAGAGGCTGAGTCACACGGAGGAACCCTCCAGTTGAGGTGGAAGGAAACAATAAGAATCTGGTTCACATCATTTCACAGATGGAGGAACCGAGTCTCTGAAGTTAAATGGCTTGCCCAAGATTACAGCAGTGGAAAGCTACATCGAACTTTAAACGCCCAGTGTTCTAAACCCTCAGTCGGGACTTTTCACTCAAGCTCTGCAATGAGGAAGGATTTCTGTTTAACCCGAGCATCCCGTGGACAAACTAGTCTCTGTAGATACTGCTGGTCATTAAATTTCTAAACAGTCATGAGAACTTACTAAGCATCTACTGAGGCGCAGTCCTGTACTTTCATTTCTAAGTCAATAAACCCAAGTCCAGAAAGCAGGAGGCTGTCACATCCCACTCCAGGTGTAGAAAAGGTAAGCATCCTCACTTCCCACCGGGCTTCCCGGACCGCTCAGAGCCTCCGAAGGGACCCGACTCCCCCCAGCCCCCGCCGCCAGCTCCTCGGCAATTCCGACTGGGAGCTGGTCTCCCCCTGCAACCACAGCCGTGCACGAGGCGCGGAGCACGCTCACCTCCCATCACACGGGGAGCTAAAGATAGCCGCGCCGCACCTGGGCAGAGGCTCGCCCACCGGGGCGGGCAGCGTCCCGCGCCCCGGCCCTGCCCCGCCGCCGCACACCTTCCCGCCCGGGG